GAAGATAATCTACTCAAATTGAATCTATGATGCTGCAGCTGCAGTAACGCCTTAATAAGAAAAGAACTATTACTTCTACAAAAAATGACAACTGTGTCTTGAATGTCAAAGATTAAACAAACTTTTTTTACAAAATTTGAAGGTATAATGCTGTAGCCGCATATTCAAGTTACACAAGACAAAAAACTTTATTTTGTACTCCAATTTAAAGTGTACATATGGCACTGCAGGTGCAGTTAGTACACTACCTGGAAATTGTTTACAAAACTTTATAATGGACATGTGATTAAAGAAGATAATCTATTGAAAGTGTAGCTAGACGCTGCAGCCGCAGTAATGCCTTAATAAGAAAAGAACTAATATTTCTACAAAAATTGACAACTGTGTCTTGAATGTCAAAGATTAAACAACCCTCTTTACTAAAATAGTAGGTATAATGCTGCAGCGGCAGAAACAAGTAAATACAAAACAAAAACTATATTTTGTACTCAAAGTGTACATATGGCACTGCAAGTGCAGTTAGGCCTCTAGTTGGAAGTTGTCGACACAATTTCATAAACATGTGATTATAAATAAGATAATCTATTCAAATTGAAGCTGTGGCGTGCAGTTATGCCTTAATAAGAAAAGAACTATTAATCTACAAAAATTGACACAACTGTGTCTTGAATGTCAGAGATTAAGCAAACTTCTTTACAACATAATTGTATGCAGCTGGAGATACAAGTTTAAACAAGACAAATACTATGTGTTGTATTCATAGTGTACATATGGCAATGCAGCTGCAGTTAGGTCATTATTTGGAAATTGTCTATACAACTTTGAAACGAACACAAAATTAAACAAACTGTTCTACTGAAATTGGCGCTGCAACTGTATTAAGGCCTCTTGTTGGAAATCTGTACACACAGCTTTGTGATAAATGCAAAATTTAACAAGATAATTAGGTGACATTGTAGATATGGCGCTGCAGGTACAGAAGCAAAAAAGAAGTCACAGATTGTACAAAAACTGTAGATATGGCGCTGCAGCTAGACCATTTCAAGAAAAGTTTTGATACAAATTGTCTTTGTAATAAACAAAAGTTAAAAAAAAAATTGCACTAAAATGTTACATATGACACTGCTGCTGCAGTTAGGTCTCTCTTTGGAAATTTCTAGACACAAGTCTGCAATGAACACAATTAAACAAAATAATCTTGAATGAAATGGTAGGATATAAGGCATTGCAGCTACATTTATGCCTTCATAAGGTTAAAACTAATATTTAGATCTACAAAAAATTGTTGATAGGACTTTCCAGATGCAACTTGATTTATAAACAAACTTTTCTCCTGAAATTGTAGATACGATGCTGCAACAGGTCTTAGACCCGTGGTTGAACATTTTGAACACTTTGTGGTGAACAGAGTGATTTAGTGAAAGCGTCTTATTTCCTACCATTGAAACTTCGTCTATGATAACAATAGACAGGTCTCTGTATTTAACTCTAAGTGTGTTAAGTGTGTCAGAATCTACATGATAGTTTTGATAACCACTTTACAGTTGTCGGGGTTTTCACCTTTTTGTGTACAAAGATGACGTTTTAATGCTTGATACAATGCCTTTAAAACAACAGATTTTCCAAAACCAGCATCACCTGTTAAGAAAGTGTATAATGGGTGATCTTTAGTTTTGATCCAGTGTAACACATGCAAAAAAAATCCTTTTGCTTCATGTTTAAGTTTCTTACTAGCTTAAGATATTCCTCATTTGGTAATAGAGTGGGTGAATGTTCGATTAGTGGAACAGGTTGTGATATACCAAGGTCTATACCAATATCATATTGTTGTTCAGCAGCTTGTGGTTTGTAAAAAATAAATTGTGTGCTTGCATTTGAACCTTCTTGTTCATCTTCTTGCTCAGTATGCTGATTCAAAGGTGCAATTTGATCAAATTCTTCACTGAGGTCATTATAAGCTCTTTGCATGGCACTATCTAGCTCATCAGAATAATGTTCATATTCAGCAGACTTGTTATCTACAATATGGCTAACATGATGATAGTGATCCTCGTAAGTTTGATATTCTCCAAGTAAATCTCTTTCTTCACTTCGCCATGGAAAGAATAGCAAGAGCTTTTCTCTGTAGTGATTTTCAGTGTCTGTCTTCACATTGTAACGGACATAGCGGATATCTTTTCTGTGTTTTCTTCGCTTAATAACAATACCATTTGGTAAGTTAAGTTCTTTCCATGTTTCTGAAATTTCTAAAAGATCTTCGTTTTTGAGTCAGAAGTGCATATGTCAACATCATTGATATCCTCATTTGATACCCTTTTTTTAGGATATGTTATGTCAAGTTCAGAAACATAATCAGCAAGACACATGTTATTTAGTTGCTTGGGACGTTTGGCATATCGT